CAGCCGCGTCGCGGCACGACTGACGGAAAAAAAGAAAAAAGAAAAAAAAAGACACAACGGCCTTAATGAAACCTCTGCCCTAACACCACTGCCGGCCTGAGTTACAAACGCCTTTTCGAACTCAGGCCCTGACACAGTCGCCGAATGCCTGTTTTTTGTGCCTTTAGGAACTCAAAACATGCCGCGTCCGCCGTAGTTTCAAGCAAATACGATGTTCAGGGACTCTGGACCCACTTTCCAGCAGGTGCTGCTCCCCACCAATAGATGGAGCCTCCCGTGAGAGGTAGTGGTGTCTGCTCCTATCAGCACCCCTAGCACCAGCTCTGGCTGTTCTACCCAAAAAAAAAACAAAAAAAACAAAAAAAAAAGGGAAGGCCTTTCCCTGCACATAGATAGAGGCAAAAGGGGCCTTTTGCCTGGACGAATGTGCCGCTAAACTGAGCCCTGGTACTTCCGGAGGGACGTGGCAGTATGCAGCCCGCAACTCTGAAAAAAATGGCTGGGAAACACACTGGTGGTTAAACCACCAGTACCTTTCTCAGCTATAGATGCCGAGCCTAAAATCGCTCTGCGCGCCATGAATGGGCGCGGGCCTCATTTGAGCTGGCTCCATCAGCCATTTCGGTCCTGTAGTGCTGATCCCCGCTTGCTCGTGTGATGATGTGCTTTCCTTTCAGTCACAAGCAGCTTCATCACCAGCAGACAGAATTTCAGTCATTTGTCAGAAGGCCCTAAGCTTGCTATAACACTCAAATGACATACACACAGTGACACAGATACATTGTCAGTAAGAAACTCCGGCGATCTACACTGTAGGGAAGAAGGTTGCTATACTTGTCATGAACGTTCTCTTTTCTCAGCCGAGTTTCAAGCAGCACGCGACACTTCCAGAAAAAAAATAATCTGGGCGTGGAGAGGCCACGCCTTCTGCGTGACTACCGCCCCTTGACCAAGAATGTAGTACACGCCCACCCACCCACGTCTACAGAGTTGAGCCTCTCCCGGCGAATTGGAGTCCTTAGCCCGTAGCATTGCCACGTCCATTTGATTCCTTCAGGATTCACACTCATCACCTGGTCGTTAACTGCGATATGCGCTTTCAAGACCCAAAAAAAATCAGTCTGGAAATGCTTATAGTATTATGCAAAGAAATTTATTGCAAATTACAATCATGGAATTGAATTGAAGAATTGGAAACCCATCAGAAGTCCTTCGGGACATCCGTTAAAATTGGAACGGTATGAGAAAGATTAGCATGGCCCCTGCGCAAGGAAAGGATGACACCCAATAGTCGAGAAATGGTCCAAAAAAAAAAAAAAAGACTATCATTACACTCCCGTACCTGGCAAACCTGAGCATGATTGTAAATGCACTAGGTATGATTTCTTCATAAATGCTTGCGAGGGGAGAGGGAAATAAACAGAAAAGAAAATGGGATTTGAGGAGGTTGAAGGCTGGCCACCAAAGCTGGGTGAACAGTTTGAAATTGAAATCTGCTTTGGATGACATAAACTTGAAGCTGGGTGGTAGGGGCAACGAGGTGGCAGAAGGGTGTGGGAAAAATATTGAAGTGGTGACCACCGTTTCCCACTCTGTGTGGCCAAAAGTGATGTGGGGGAACATAGTGATAGTCTTCCGTTCCCAACTACTTTTTTTTTTTTTTTTTTTTTTTTTCAGAAAGGTGACATTGTGCGTAATCTGGAAAGGTGATCATAACTCTAGGGAGGAGGTGTGGTTAAAGACGTGGCAAATTTTTTTATTTTTTTTTTCAGAAAGGTGACATTGTGCGTAATCTGGAAAGGTGATCATAACTCTAGGGAGGAGGTGTGGTTAAAGACGTGGCAATGAATGGTTCAACGACGTGGCAATTGATAGTTCAAACGGAGATAACGACGTGGCAATGGAGACACACAAAGATCATCAATCCAGAGAAGGATGGCAGAGTCAAGCCTTATGCTGGCCACCACAGCTGAGGTGAACTATTCGAAACGGAAATCTGCTTTGGATGACATCAAGCTGGCTGGTAGTGGCAGTTAGGTGGCTGGAGGGTCTGGCAAAGACGCTGAAACAGTGACCGTTTCCTGCTGAAGGTAGGCGAGAGTGATGTGGGGGAACCCAGGGAAGATAGTGCGCGTTTCCCATTTCTGACTGGGAGTCTCGGACTGATCAGGAAGGTGAAGCTATGTGCAATCTGGAAAGAGAGATGCAGTATAACAATGGAAGGTGTTACTCCAGGGAGGAGGTGCAGTTAAGGACAAAAGACATGATTGAAGAGGAGACAAGGTGTAAATGGAGACACACAAAGATGGTCATGGGAAGGAATTCAGAGGAGGGTTGCAGAATGAGGTCGGAGTTTCAACATAAAGCAGTGGCACCATTGAGAACACGACAGGATCGTGCACTCCGGGTTGTTTTTTGTCGTGTTTCACAACGGTCATTCAAACCGCAATTCAGGGGTGACAAGAGCACCCCCCAAATTGTGGACGTGCCAATTGAACCACCACTGCTTTTGACCATTCCTTTGCCGAGGCGTTGCTCTCCAAAATTGAAAAAAAAAAAAAAAAAAAAAAAAAACGGCTCAGGCATTCTTTTGGCTGCCACCACCAGCCATTTTGCCCTAGTAGGCTGACTCCCGAAACTTGGATTGCGGCTGCATGCACGCCACGTCAGAGAAAAATGGCTGGGGAACGTAGTGGTGGTTTGACGACTCCGGTCTATTAGTGGGGACCAGCACCTGATGGAAAATGCATCTAGAATTACATTATATACAACGAAATCCCAACCGCCCAGACATAAAACTCCAGGCCAGCAGCATTGACTGCCCATCCCTTCTTTTCTTTTCTTTTCTTTTCAGAAAACACCCGAGGTAAAGCTAGGGGTGCTGATAAGAGCAGACACCACTAGCACCCGGGGGGAGGCTCCATCTATTGGTGGGAGCAACACCTGCTGGAAATCGGGCCCAGCGTCCCTGAACAATGTAGTTGTTTGTTTGAACATACATTTGACTGGAGTAACCATCGAGCAGCTGGGCGTACCTACATCATAGCTGTTTGATTGAATAGCCTATCAACTGTTTTTTTTTGTTTTTTTTTGGGAATGCTCCGATCTATTCGTGGGGAGCAGCACGTGCTGGGAACCGGGCCCAGCGTCCCTTATAATAGGAATACAATGTTTTTTTAGTATCGTGTGCTGAGAACCGGGCTCAGCGTCCCTTATGAACTTCATAGGTGAGAGTTTGAGCAGATATGAGCATGAGTCATTCAGAGAAAAGCCTTTGTGCTGGAAACCGGGTCCGCGTCCCATCCCTCTGACTACCTGGAAACTAAGGACCAGGGGTCTGCAGATGCCAGATCTTACGTAGAAAGGCAGCAGCCCCTCCTCTAACCTGTGGCCTGGCTCCGGAACCAGCAGGAGCCACTTGGGGGCATCAGTGGGTCCTCCTTCCGTCTCCTTGCCCGCCCCAGGATTCCCTCTACAGGCAGCAAGACGAATGGGTGTATTCTTGTTGCATACTGTAACGTGCAGACCAGAACAAGAACCGGCCTTTCCATACAAAGTATAAGATAGCACAACGGAAGACTTAGATACCAGTGATCCGAACAATCAATGTTGCAATGCAGTCCTGAACATACCTCATCATCATCGTTACATGGTGTGAATGGGGCCTGGCGCTTCACACAGGAAGACTGCGCCAGCCCATACCATACACAGACGAAGAGGAGGGGGAAGATGGGAATGTCGTCAACACCAAGTCTTCGGCACAAGCCCAAATAGTCCCTCGTCGAAATGTCTGAATCCCAAATGTCAAGTCTGGATCCAATGTCGTCAAGTC